TCACCTTACAAAACATCCATACTTATTATTGTACCTATTACATACATAGAACACTTAACTCTGATATTAACCTCCCCTCAAACATCTCCTTGCCAACCTCACAGAACACATGACCATAACACAAGGCACAGATCACTCTTTGATGTTCCTCGTGTCCATCTCATGCTATGCAAAAATTCAATGCACATAAAAGGCCCTAAAATCTGGAATTCATTACCTGTAAATATAAAAGAAACATTACCTGTTTATAAATTCAAGTCTCTTCTCAAAGATCACTTACTCACTCAAAACCAAATAAATACTGAATAACTGAACCTTATAAATTGTATATCCTATATGTTACTCACAATTATATCACACAAATGTTTAAACCTAGACCCAATCTAACTTTATTATTTTTTTAAATACACTACCTAACAGAATACTCCATTCGACTGAATGTACAGCAATGCAAGCAACCATATGACCTGTCTTTGTAATACTCATTTGTGCTTTATAGTTATCTGTTTACAATAATGTTTTATCACTGATTTCATCATTGCTTAGTTAATCTTAAGTTAATTTTAAGCCAGCCCGTAATGCTATGCATATAAGTGGCTTTGGCATGCTGCTCTTACCTGTATTTTTTGTACCTCTGTGTGTATGCTTAAATAAATAAATAAATAAATAAATAAATAAATAAATAAATAATGGAGACTTAGTGCTGACGGATCTCATGGAGAATTTAGACAAACCAGGTGGGGCGCGGTGACCATATTAGAAAGTCAGGTGGGGGGAGCCGTATAGAGAGTTTTGGTCATAATTTGAAATGACCGTATTAGCAGAATGTCGTAAAGCGAAACGCCATAAAGCGGGGCCCTACTGTACAAATAAGCTTATACAGTATAGGGAAAATCATTGATTTTGATGATATGATAGATAATTTTGCATAAATGTAGGCAAGGAAATGTAAGATCAGATTCACTGAGATGTTACCTGAACTCAAGGTCAAATCAGAACTAGTGTTTCTCTGATATTGCAATGTTTTTCTTTATTTTTTAAGTTTTTTTTTTTTGTTGTTTTTGTTTTTACATTGTTAAAGATGAATAAATGTAGGATCTGTTGCTGTACTCAAAGTGGTATTTGAATTTATGTTTTCTCAATATTACTACGATTATTTATTTTATCACTAATAAAGTTGAGAAGTATTCTCCTGTTCAGTTTATGGCCCTTAAACGTTCTCATTGCTAAACATTTGTCACTGGTCATGCAGTAGTGACGTAACTGGAGTTTACTCCCCCATTAGCCCGTCCTTGAATTTCATGGGGGTGACACCAAAGATGCTTCCCCGGGTGACACCAGAGATTCCGCCCCGGGTGACACCAGAGATTCCGCCCCGGGTGACACCAGAGATTCCGCCCCGGGTGACACCAGAGATTCCGCCCCGGGTGACGCCAACTCTAGCGACGCCTCTGCTATAATCATAATTCAACCTATAATCCATGCAATAATTAAACTTGAAAAATGTTACATAGAATATATTAATTCATTAATCTGTTCTCGTGTGTTTCTTGTAATTCCTAAACTTAATATTTATAACCATTTAGAGACCATATACATAAGCAATCAATTAGTTATTGTCTTATTAGTCTTAAGACAGCTTAAGTTGCCTTATTAGTCTTAAGACAGGCTTAAGTTATTGTCATCAATTTTAAGACAGGCTTACCTGGAGTTTACCTAGAGAGGGTTTCGGGGGTCAATGCCCCCGCGGCCCGGTCTGAGACCAAGCCTCATCGTGGATCGGGGTCTGATCAACCAGGCTGTTACTGCTGACCACACACAAGCTGACATACAAACCACAGCCCGGTTGGTCAGGTACTGACTTTAGCTGCCTGTCCAGTGCCTTCTTGAAGACAGCCAGGAGTCTATTGGTAATCCCCCCTCATGTATGCTGGGAGGCAATTGAACAGTCTTGGGCCCCAGACACTTATTGTCTTGTCTCTCAGTGTACTCGTGGCACCCCTGCTTTTCATCGGAGGGATGTTGCATCTGCTGCCAAGTCTTTTGCTTTCACATGGAGTGATTTTCGTGTGCAGGTTTGGTACCAATCCCTCCAGAACTTTCCAAGTGTATATTATCATGTATCTCTCTTGGTTGTATTCAAGAGAATACAGATCAAGGACCTTCAACTGTTCCCAGTAGTTTAGGTGCCTTATCGCACTTATGTGTGCCATGAAAGTTCTTCGTAAATTCTCTAGGTCTGCAATGTCACCAGCCTTGAAGGGGGCCGTTAGTGTACAGCAATGTTCCAGCGTAGAGAGCACAAGCGATCTGAATGGAATCATCATGGGCTTGGCATCCCTAGTTCTGAAGGTTCTCATTATCCACCCTATCATTTTCCTAGCAGATGAGGTACACACATTGTTGTGGTCTTCGAAGGCGAGATCCTCTGACATTATCACTCCCAGGTCCTTCACATTACTTTTCTGCTCTATTATATGGTTAGAATTTGTGGTATACCCTGACACATTTTTAATTTCTTCAAGTTTTCCATATCTGAGTAGTTGAAATTTCTCCTCATTGAATTTCATATTGTTTTGAGTGGCCCATTCGAAGATTTCGTTGATGTCCGCTTGGAGTCTCACAGTGTCTTCGATGGAGGTCACTGCCATGGTGATCCGGGTGTCATCCACAAAGGAAGATATAAGCTATGGCTTACATCTCTGCCTATGTCAGAAATGAGGATGAGGAATAGAATGGGAGTGAGTACTGTGCCTTGTGGAACAGATTTTTACCATGGCTGCCTGGGACTTTACTCTGTTTACTATTACTCCTTATGCTCTATTTGTCAGGAAGTTGTAGATCCACCTGCCAACTTTTCCCGTTATTCCTTTATCCCGCATTTTGTGTGCTATTACACCATGGTCACACTTGTCGAAAGCTTTAGCAAAGTCTGCGTATACTACAGCTGTATTTTGTTTATCCTCTACACAGGATCCAGGACCTTGTCATAGTGGTCCAGTAGCTGGGACAGGCAGGAGCGACCTGCTCTAAACCTGTGTTGTGTAATTGATGGGTATCTAGGTGGCTGGCAATCTTGCTTCTTAGAACCCTCTCAAAGAGTTTCATATGGGATTTTAGTGCTATCAGTCTGTAGTTCTTTGCAATTGCTTTACTGCCACCTTTGTGGAGTGGGCCTATGTCTGTTGTTTTTAGTGTGGGATGACCCTTGTGTCCATGCTCCCTCTCCATAAAATGCTTAATGCACACAATAGGGACTTTTTGCAATTCTTGATGAACATCGAGTTCCACGAGTCTAGGCCTGGGGCAGAGTGCATGGGCATGTCATTAATTGCCTCTTCAAAATCTTGTGGAGTTAGAATATCTGAGAGTTTTGGGATGACCAAATTTTGGGTTTCGTTCATCAAGAATTCATTTAGATTGTTGGCCCTTAGAGTGTGCAGTGGATTGCTGAACACTGAGTCATATTGGGACTTTAGTAACTCACTCATTTCTTGGCTATCATCTGTGTATGTCCCATCCTGCCTAAGCAGGGGTCCAATACTTGATGTTTTTTTCCCTTAGATTTGGCATAAGAAAATTAGTTTTTTTTTTTTAATTTCCTTTATGGCATTTAGTTATTCCTGTGATTCTTGTCCCCTATAAGATTCCTTCAGCTTAAGTTTGATATTTGCAATTTCACTGACTAGTGCTTCCCTTCGTATTTCAGATATACTGACCCCTCTCAGCAGTTCTGTGATTCTTCACCTTCATCTGTATAGGGAACGTCTCTCTCTTTCTAGTTTACATCTTCTCTTTCGTTTTCTTAATGGAATGGTTTACTTGATCCCATTGTATGTTTTTGTTACTGAAATTGAATTTAGTGAAGAGACCTTCATGGCTGCTCACATTTTGCTGGTCTGGAGCCCTGTGCATACATGTCTGTACCTCTATTATGTTGTGATCTGAGTGAATTGTCTTTGATACAGTTATATCATGTATCAGATTGTCATTGTTAGTGAAGATGAGGTCCAGCATATTTTCGAGTCTTGTAGGTTCTACTATTTGCTGGTTTAAGGTGAATTTGTTGCAGAGATTTAATAGTTCGTGTGTGTGTGAATTTTCATCTGAGCTGCCTCCCGGGGTGATCTCTGCTAAAACATTGTTTGTTATACTCCTCCATTTTAGGTTTCTCAGGTTGAAATCTCCTAATAGTAAGATGTTTGGGGCAGGAGTTGGGAGATTTTCCAGACAGCAGTCAATTTTCTCAAGCTGCTCCTGGAATTGCTGGGAAGTTGCATCTAGAGGCTTGTATACTACCACAATGACAACGTTTTGGTTTTCGATCTTTACTGCCAAAACTTCAACTACATCATTTGTCTTATCAGTCTTAAGACAGGCTTAAGTTATTGTCTTATCAGTCTTCAGACAGACTTAAGTTTGCTAGAAATGTTGTACAGCCTCTCCTCACTTAGCAACGTAGAGTACCGATGCCTCGGACTTTCGACGGACTCTCTGGCCAGTATTTATACCTGAATAATGTATATTAGAGCTGATTTCCTCTATTCTGTTTATTTCAATATACAGTACACTACTGTATAAACATTTACATATATATCAGAAATGTTATAAATGGTGCGAAGGTGACATTAAAACAATATCAAAGATAGTTGACACAGAGCTACTACCATTATAGTATGCTCTTTGGAACTCCGTGGTTAAGTGAGGAAAGGCTGTACATACTAAGGGCCATTCTGCATGTACACCTATATGTCACCCATCTCTGTACACTGTATCATGCTGAAATAAATACACCTACCATCCGACTTACGACCGAGTTCGGTTTCGAGAAACCGGTCATAAGTCGAAATGGACGCAAGTCAAACTTTACTCCTGAATATCAACATAACATTTTTGTAATGACTTTATTTTATTGTTTTATTTTGGTATTTCATGTTTTACTTTACTTTTTATGCTGTTAGTATTGTATTTTATACTGTAAGGTTTAGGATAAACACTGTGTACAACACAAACACTTGTTTATTTCCCAGAAATTTGGCATAAAAAACACGGTCGTAAGTCGAGTGGTCGTATGTCGAGCAGGTCGTAAGTCGGATGGTAGGTGTAATCTAAATCTAGTATAGAGTATGACTAGTGATCATACCTGCATTGCCATACAAGACAAGGGGAGGGTAGAGGTGGGTCTGAGCCTCCTCCACTAACTCCGTCGCTTCTAAACAAAGAGCGCTGAGTGCTAGAACAACTTTGTTCACTAATTTATTGTTAGACGGAATAAGTTGAACTAGAGACGGCTGCTCGAACGGTGTCAACTGCAACAATAATGACATGATATTAATATTTAATATAAAGACATGAAACACAACTGTGAAGTAGTAACCCACATGCTAACAACCCACATAACCATGAGGTAGTAACCCACATGGTGACAACCCACATAGCCATGAGGTAGAAACCCACATGGTGACAACCCACATGACCATGAGGTAGTAACCCACATGGTGACAACCCACATAACCATGAGGTAGTAACCCACATGTTGACAACCCACATGACCATGAGGTAGTAACCCACATGGTGACAACCCACATGACCATGAGGTAGTAACCCACATGGTGACAACCCACATAACCATGAGGTAGTAACCCACATGGTGACAACCCACATAACCATGAGGTAGTAACCCACATGGTGACAACCCACATGACCATGAGGTAGTAACCCACATGGTGACAACCCACATGACCATGAGGTAGTAACCCACATGGTGACAACCCATATGACCATGAGGTAGTAACCCACATGGTGACAACCCACATAACCATGAGGTAGTAACCCACATGTTGACAACCCACATAACCATGAGGTAGTAACCCACATGTTGACAACCCCCACAACTGTGAGGTAGTAACCCACATGGTGACAACCCACACTCTGCACAGACACTGAGGTGTGACCCACACTGTACACTGTGAGGTGTGTAACCCACACTGTGAGGTGTGACCTACACTGTGGTGTGTGAGCCACATTGTACACTGTGAGGTGTGTGACCAATACTGTTAGGTGTGACCCACATTGTACACTGTGAGGTGTGTGACCCACACTGTGAGGTGTGAGACCCCACACTGAGGTGTGTGATCCACACTGTGAGATGTGTGACACACACTGTGAGGTGTGACCCACTGTGAGGTGTGTGACCCACAGTGAGACATGTAACCCCACACTGTGAGGTGTGTGACCCACACTGGCACTGTGAGGCATGTGACCCACACTGAGGGGTTTTGTGACCCACATTCTACAGACACTGTGGGGTGTGTGACCCACTCTACACTGTGGGGTGTGCAATCCACACTCTACACTGTGGGGTGTGTAACCCACACTCTCTACAATGTGGGGTGTGTGATCCACACTATCTACAGACACTGAGGGGTGTGTGACCCACTCTCTACATTGTAGGGTGTGTGACCCTCACTCTCTACAGTGGGTGTGACCCACACACTCTACACTGTGGGGTGTGTGACCCACACTCTCTACAGACACTGTAGGGTGTGTGATCCACTCTCTCTACATTGTGGGATGTGTGACCCCACACTCTCTAGACACAGTGAGTTGTGTGACTCACACTCTCTACAATGTGGGGTATGTGACCCACACTCTCTACAGACACTGTGGGGTGAGTGACCCACACTCTCTACAGACACTGTGGGGTGAGTGACCCACACTCTCTACAGACACTGTGGGGTGTGTGACCCACACTCTCTAGACACTGTGAGCTGTGTGACCCACACACTCTACACTGTGGGGTATGTGACCCACACTCTCTGCAGACACTGTGGGGTATGTGACCCACACTCTCTACAGACACTGTGGGGTATGTGAACCACTCTCTACAGACACTGTGGGGTGTGTGACCCACACTCTTTACAGACACTGTGGGGTGTGTGACCCACACTCTCTACAGACACTGTAGGGTGTGTGACCCACACTACACTGTGGGGTGTGAGACCCACACTCTACAGACACTCTGGGATGTGTGACCCACACTCTACAGACACTGTAGGGTGTGTGACCCACACTCTCTACAGACACTGTAGGGTGTGTGACCCACACTACACTGTGGGGTGTGAGACCCACACTCTACAGACACTGTGGGATGTGTGACCCACACTCTACAGACACTGTAGGGTGTGTGACCCACACTCTACAGACACTGTGGGGTATGTGACCCACACTCTCTACAGACACTGTGGGGTATATGACCCACACTCTCTACAGACACTGTGGGGTATGTGACCCACACTCTCTACAGACACTGTGGGGTATGTGACCCACACTCTCTACAGACACTGTGGGGTGTGTGACCCACACTCTCTACAGACACTGTGGGGTGTGACCCCACACTCTCTACACTGTGGGGTGTGATCCACACACCCTGCAGACATTGTGGCATGTGTGAACCACACTGTGGGTGTGTTATTAATGGGCAAACATTAAACTCGTATGAATCAATCTGAACCTGGAGAAGGGAAGACAATCAAGTTTGATCCAAGGGTAGCTCCAGTTGCTGAGATCAAGAGCTTTTCAGCAGCCTGCAGACACCCCATGACCATTACAGTGCTGGCTGTAACATGATTATCACCACTACAGTGCTGGCTGTAACATGATTATTGGTACCACTACAGTGCTGGCTGTAACATGATTATTGGTACCACTACAGTGCTGGCTGTAACATGATTATTGGTACCACTACAGTGCTAGCTGTAACATGATTATTGGTACCACTACAGTGCTGGCTGTAACATGATTATTGGTACCACTACAGTGCTGGCTGTAACATGATTATTGGTACCACTACAGTGCTGGCTGTAACATGAATATTGGTACCACTACAGTGCTAGCTGTAACATGATTATTGGTACCACTACAGTGCTGGCTGTAAAATGATTATTGGTACCACTACAGTGCTGGGTGTAACATGATTATTGGTACCACTACAGTGCTGGCTGTAACATGATTATTGGTACCACTATAGTGCTGGCTGTAACATGATTATTGGTACCACTACAGTGCTGGCTGTAACAGGATTATTGGTACCACTACAGTGCTGGATGTAACATGATTATTGGCACCACTTCAGTCCTGGCTGTAACACAATTATTGGCACCACTATAGTCCTGGCTGTAACACAATTATTGGCACCACTACAGTCCCAGCTGTAACACAATTATTGGCACCACTAGAGTCCTGGCTGTAACAATTTCTGGTACCACTACAGTCCTGGCTGCAACACGATTATTGGCACCACTACAGTCCTGGATGTAACACAATTATTGGCACCAATACAGCCCTGGCTGTAACACGATTATTGGCACTGCTACAGTCCTGGCTGTAACACAATTTTTGGCACCACTACAGTCCTGGCTGTAACACAATTTTTGGCACCACTACAGTCCTGGCTGTAACACAATTTCTGGTACCACTACAGTCATGGCTGTAACAATTTTTGGCACCACTACAGTCCTGGCTGTAACACAATTTCTGGTACCACTACAGTCCTGGCTGAAACACAATTTCTGGTACCACTACAGTCCTGGCTGTAACACAATTTCTGGTACCACTACAGTCCTGGCTGTAACACAATTTCTGGTACCACTACAGTCCTGGCTGTAACACAATTTCCTGGTACCACTACAGTCCTGGCTGTAACACAATTTCTGGTACCACTACAGTCCTGGCTGTAACACAATTTCTGGTACCACTACAGTCCTGGCTGAAACACAATTTCTGGTACCACTACAGTCCTGGCTGTAACACAATTACTGGCACAACTACAGTCCTGGCTGTAACACAATTTCTGGTACCACTACAGTCCTGGCTGTAACACAATTTCTGGTACCACTACAGTCCTGGCTGAAACAAAATTTTCTGGTACCACTACAGTCCTGGCTGTAACACAATTTTGGTACCACTACAGTCCTGGCTGTAACACAATTACTGGCACCACTACAGTCCTGGCTGTAACATGATTACTGGCACCACTACAGTCCTGGCTGTAACACGATTATTGGCACCACTACAGTCCTGGCTGTAACATGATTATTATCACCACTACAGTCCGGGCTGTAACATGATTGCTGGTACCACTACAGTCCTGGCTGTAACATGATTTTTGGGCACCACAACAGTTCTGGCTGTAACATGATTATTCTCACCACTACAGTCCTGGCTGTAACATGATTATCTCACCACTACAGTCCTGGCTGTAACATGATTGCTGGTACCACTACAGCCCTGGCTGTAACATGATTATTGGCACCACAACAGTTCTGGCTGTAACATGATTATTCTCACCACTACAGTCCTGGCTGTAACATGATTGCTGGTACCACTACAGTCCTGGCTGTAACATGATTATTGGCACCACAACAGTTCTGGCTGTAACATGATTATTCTCACCACTACAGTCCTGGCTGTAACATGATTGCTGGTACCACTACAGTCCTGGCTGTAACATGATTATTGGCACCACAACAGTTCTGGTTGTAACATGATTATTCTCACCACTACAGTCCTGGCTGTAAGATGATTGCTGGTACCACTACAGTCCTGGCTGTACCATGATTATTGGCACCACAACAGTTCTGGCTGTAACATGATTATTCTCACCACTACAGTCCTGGCTGTAACATGATTATTCTCACCACTACAGTCCTGGCTGTAACATGATTGCTGGTACCACTACAGTCCTGGCTGTAACATGATTATTGGCACCACAACAGTTCTGGCTGTAACATGATTATTCTCACCACTACAGTCCTGGCTGTAACATGATTGCTGGTACCACTACAGTCCTGGCTGTAACATGATTATTGGCACCAACAACAGTTCTGGCTGTAACATGATTATTCTCACCACTACAGTCCTGGCTGTAAACATGATTGCTGGTACCACTACAGTCCTGGCTGTAACATGATTATTGGCACCACAACAGTTCTGGCTGTAACATGATTATTCTCACCACTACAGTCCTGGCTGTAACATGATTGCTGGTACCACTACAGTCCTGGCTGTAACATGATTATTGGCACCACAACAGTTCTGGCTGTAACATGATTATTCTCACCACTACAGTCCTGGCTGTAACATGATTGCTGGTACCACTACAGTCCTGGCTGTAACATGATTATTCTCACCACTACAGTCCTGGCTGTAACATGATTGCTGGTACCACTACAGTCCTGGCTGTAACATGATTGCTGGTACCACTACAGTCCTGGCTGTAACATGATTAACATGGTTAACGAACATCATG